GAGGCAGAAGAGATTAAGAAGAGGTGGCAAGATTACACAGAAGAACAATACAAGAAAGAGCTTAACATCCCTGATAACCATGACTGATCTCCAGCAAGACATCCTGGAATGTGAAGTCAAATGGGCCTTAGGAATTCTGAGCAACAACAAAGCTAGTGGAGGCGACAGTATTCCAGCTGAGCTATGCAAAATCCTAAAAGATGATGCAGTAGAAGTGCTACACTCAATATGCCAGCAAATTTGGAAAACTCAACAGTGGCCACAGGATTGGAAAAGGCCAGTTTACATTCTGATCCCAAAGAAGGGCAATGCCAAAGAATGTTCAAACTACCACACCATTGCACTCATTTCACATGCTAGCAAAGTGATGCTCAAAATCCTACAAGCTAGGCTCCAGCAGTACGTGGACCGAGAACTAGCAGAAGTACAGGCAGGATTTCAAAGAGGGAGAGGAACTAGAGATCAAATTGCCAACATACGCTGGATTATGAGGAAAGCTAGGGAATTCCAGAAAAGCATCTACTTCTGCTTCATTGACTATGCTAAAGCCTTTGATTGTGTGGATCACAACAAATTGTTGCAAGTTCTTAAAGAGATGGGAGTACCAGACCATCTTATTTGTCTTTTGAGAAACCTATATGCGGGTCAAGAAGCAACAGTGAGAACTGGACATGGAACCACTAATTGGTTCAAAATTGAGAAAGGAGTTTGGCAAGGCTGTATACTGTCACCCTGCCTATTTAACTTATATGCAGAGCACATCATGAGAAAGGCAGGGCTAGATGAATCACCAGCTGGAATTAAGATTGGAATTAAGATTTCTCTTGGAGAAATATCAAGATGATACCACTCTCATGGCAGAAAGTGAAGAGGAACTAAAGAGCCTCTTGATGCGGGTGAAGGAGGAGAGTGCAAAAGTTGGCTTGAAACTCAACATTAAGAAAACTAAGATCATGGCATCCAGTCCTATCACTTCCTGGCAAATAGATGGGGAAGAAATGGAGGTAGTGACAGATTTTATTTTCCTGGGCTCCAAGATCACCACAGACAAGGACTGCAGCCAAGAAATTGGATGCCAGGAAGCACTTCCTGACAGTCAGGACCCCGAGGGGGTGGAACGGGCTTCCCCGGGAGGTCGTTGAGGCCCCATCGGTGCAGGTGTTCAAGGATAGGCTGGACGTCCACATGGTGGGCATGTCGTGGGCAGAGCCGGCTGGTGCCGGAGGTCATACTAGATGGCCCGGGAGGCCCCTTCTGACTCGCTCTGTTTCTATGTTTGTATGTTTATAAATTAAAAGACGCTTGCTCCTGGGGAATCTAGACAACATACTAAAAAGAAGAGACATCACCCTGCCAACAAAAGTGCATATAGTCAGTTGCAATGTATGGCTGTGAAAGCTTGACCATAAGGAAGGCTGAGCGCAAAAGGATTGAGGCCTCTGAATTGTGGTGCTGGAGGAGACTCCTGCGAGTCCCTTGGGCCACAAGGCGATCAAACCGGTCAGTCCTAGAGGAGATCAACCCTGACTGCTCTTTAGAAGGCCAGATAGTGAAGATGAAACTCAAATACTTTGGCCACCTAATGAGAAGGAAGGACTCCCTGGAGAAGAGCCTGATGCGGGGAATGATGAAAGGGCAAAGGAGAAGGGGGCGGCAGAGGATGAGGTGGCTGGATGGAGTCACGGAAGCCGTTGGCGTGAGCTTGAGTGGACTCCGGGGGATAGTGGAGGACAGGAAGGCCTGGAGGAATGTTGTCCATGGGTTTGTGATGGATCGAACACGACTTCGTGACTAACAGCAACAACAATTTGATTTTAATTGATTGTAAGTTGTCCTGAGATGCCATGCATAAGGGACGGCATATAAAAGTTAAATCAAAATGGAGCCGGAGAGAGCGTGCTGCTCCGGCCTCTTTCATCCGAGCTCTCAGCCAGCCCTGGGGGGCCTCGTTTCCTCGTGGTGTCACCTCCTTGGCCTCACGACTTCTTCCCTTTGGAGTAGCCCGGGCTGCTTCCTGGGTTCTGCTCCTGGGCTGCCGGGCAGATGGAACAGGGCCCTCCCTGCGTCAGAGTGGGGTGATCCCGCCTCCTGTGTCCAGCTCAGTAGTCCAGCCCAGATCCCGCAGTAGCCCCTTGGCTGTGCTTAGCACCCTCAGGACGAAGAAGAGGGGAGCGTTGCTTCTCCAGCTCGGGGGGGGGGGGCTGGGCGTCATCCCCAGAAAGCAGCTGGGTGCCAATGGCAGTTTGACCTAGTTCGTGTAATGGCTTGGGAGGAAGCATCTCCCGGCATTTATGGCAGCAGCATGTCAGCAGCTGGTAAAACTTGCTCGGTACCTTCTTCAGTCTCCCTTACCAGGAAAAACCAGCATGGGTTCCTCCTGGGTCACAGGAGAGTCACAGAGGCATCTGAAGCTTCCCACTGCACCCGCCCGTCCGGCTTGTGAAATCTGCCACAGCTGCGTCATTTGAACCTGCAGGAGGGTCAATGCCTCTTGGCGGGTGCGGTCCCTGCAGCTTGGGAGGAAGGAAGCGGCAGTTCGGGCCTCGCTGAAGAAACCTCAGATCATAAGGCTGTAGAAAACTACCGCCCGGTGTCAAATTTGCCATCCTTGGTCACCTCACAACTCCAGGCAAGGTTGGATGGTACTGAGTATACATTCCAGTCGGGATTCGGACATGATTTTGGGACAGAAGCAGCCTTGATTCACGGCTTGCACTGGGGGATGGGCGGGGAAGCCTTGAAGAGCTCTGAGGCTGCTAGGCCTTTGGGTGGCTTTCAATACCAACGATCATGTCACCTTTCCGGATCCTTTATCTGGGCTGGGCTGAGGGGCATGGTCTTAAATTGGTTCCAGTGCTTTCTGGAGGAGGATTCTCAGAAGGTGATGCTGGGAACATCTGGCCACTGCCCTGGGGCACCACGAGGTCCCATCCGGTCCCCCTTGCATCATGAAATCTGCATGAAACTACTCGAGGTGGTCTCTGAAGGCCTGGGCTAACAAATCGTCAGTCCTCGAGTCCCTTTATTTCCACCTGCACTTCCCAGGGAGGCTGTGGAAGTCCCGAGCTCCATGGATGCCCACGAGGCACTCTGTCTGCCACTGCAGGGAGCCAAGATGGAGGGTCCTCCCCCAGCCCGTTGCTCACGCACTGCGAGCCTTGCCACCTCTTTGGCTGCCCCCGGGGCTGCTCCTGGAATTGGCTGCCCCAGAATTCATTGTTGCCAGACAGTGGGAGCACTCGCCAAGCCCCCCGAGTTATGTGGGGGCCTGTGAAGGCAGACTGTCCACATGCACCCAGCCTGTGCGACGGGGCCTGGCGGAGTGAAGGCCCCACCACCGTGGGTCTCGCCCCTTTTGCCAGCTATCCATCTCACTGTGCCAGAGGGGCTGCTGAAGCAAGGTGCCCGGGAAACAAACACACGCCTGAAGGCGGCCTGCGCCTTGCACACAGGAGGCGGCACTCAGCTCTCCTGTGAAAGCAAACGCTTGCCCAGGCAAAATGGCCCCTTTTGGAGCTCAGGAGAAAGGGGAGGAGAGGAGAGGAGAGGAGCAAGCAGCCTTTCAGCTTTCCAAGAATCACAGGTGCTCCCTTCAGTGCCTGCCAAGCCCTCCTTGGAAGGCGGTCCCATGTCCACCGTGGGACAAGGAGGCAGATCCGGATTGGGCCAGCCCTACAAGGCTGAATTTCCTTTGATTGAGAGACCGAGGGCCCCTTGGTAATATGTTGTGGGCCGACTGGAAGCAAGTGACCTCCTGCGGAACCACCGGTCCCAAAGCTCTGCCCACGGCCGCACCGGTGCCCCCAGGCGGCTCGCAGCTTCTGGGAGCTGTGGGGCTGCACGCGTGGCGGGGACTCTTTCTCTTCCTTTGTGCCACGCGTGGCGTCGAGGCGTTTTCCCTCAGCTGGAGGGTCCGCCTGAGGCAGTGCAGATGTGGCCCGCCCCGCACGCGGGTCTGCACCGACTCCCCCCCTCCAGAAATAGGGCCCCCTTCGGGCCGCCTGCTCATATGCGCCCTGCCCACTCCCTGCTGAGGCCTTTGGTCAGCCACTGCCTTGCCTCCCTCCAGAATGGGGAGGGGGGTCCCAGACGCCACTGCCTTCCGCTGTGCCCTCCCACGGCTTCCCACGGCTTCTTTCGCCTTTCTCTAGAACTGAACATGGACGGAGGGGAGGGCGACCGCACGAGGCCTCCCAGCTGGCAGCAACAGGAGCCCTCCCTGCCCACAAGCACCCAGGAGTTCTTTGCTCAGGGTCGCCCCCCCCCGCCACCCCCCCCCGTGCTGCTGCCCTTCACCACCGGATGGGCTCACGTCCCTCCAGCAGGAGAGCGAGGCCGCAGCCCCAGCAGCACTTGCAAAGGTGCCCGAGTTTTCCACCTTTAATGAGGAACTGCCAAAGCATTGTGTGAAGCAGTTTTTCTTGCTGTGATTGTGCACCTGTGGCAACTGCAGGCTGGGCACCTGCCGGGCGAAGGCCCGGTCCAGCAGTCCACGGCAGCCAGGCCCAGCTGGAGACTGCCTAGAAGGGCCCACGTGCCCTTTTCCACGGTGATGCCCCGCCCCGAAAGCACCCACTCCCACTCAGAGCCCATTTTGGGGGGACCCAGAGCTTGGACAGCCATCAAAATCCCCCTCTCCTTGACAAGAGCTGGGAGGAGGTACATCCGTGCACATTCCTGAGCGTCTAGAAGCTTGGGACAAAGATTAGGACATGGGAAGGGGCTTGGGAAAGGGAAAAGTGGGAAAGTCTCCGGTGGCACCAGGGATTTGAATCCTCCCCCACCCACGCTTTTTCCAGCTAAACACCCTTGGCACCATCGGTTCCTCCTGAGGACGTGCCTTCTGACGGCTGGCAAGAAAATCCAAAGGGGGAAACAGCTCGGGGGCCCTTCTGAGTGATGCCCGGGGCCGCTGCCCCTTCCACCTGCAAAGCCCTTCAGCTGCGCAACTGTGGCTACTACTCTTTCAAAAAGATACATTTTGGCAAACATTTTGCTCATTTTTAAAAAGGCCAAACAACCATCAACAGTGGTCCATTTCAATCATAAGTACAGTGTACATGGCAACATTCAGTCGATAGGAAGACATCTTGGCTGCTTTACTGGGAAATCTGGGCGATGCCGAGGCATTAGGTGCTCAGACGGACCGCCTTCCCGTTGGAGTTGGCCCTGCGGATACGGACGGCCCAGGGCCAACTCCAGCCTGCCCGGTTCCTAATTGGGCAGTGCCCTGTCCCAGTGGCCACAGCCCTTCCTCTAAGCACCGGCTGGCTCCCCAGTTTGCGGGCAGGCCCTTACCCATCCGGAAAGGCTGAAAAGCCTCTCGGAGGCTCCGCTGCTGGCGGAAGGAGCGCGAGTGGAGGTGTGCCGGCTTGCTTTTTCAGGCCTGCCCTTTGGCATCCCCCCCCCCCCGGGTCCCCCAGGGTTTCTCTGTGACAGGCTGGCCTTTGGGATGGAGCGGTCCAGCCCCCTGCACTCTGTTGCTCTTTCCTGCTTTCCAGGGAAGGCAACCAGCCCTGATGAGCAGGGGGAGGGGGCCCTGCACCCCCCACTCGCCCTGGCAGCCTGCCTTCCCGCTAGGGAGCCCCGAGCCCGTGTGGGCCTGGCCGGCCAGCCGGCCGACGGGCGCTGTGGGAAAACGTGCAGCCCCAGAGCCTCGGCCCACGATGACGGCCCTCTGCCCCAGAGCCCTCCAGGTGCTTAGGGGTCATCACATGTGCCAAGCCCTCGCTCTTTCTTGCTGGCCACTGAGGGGCCCCGCCCCTCCCTGGGCCCGCAGCTCCCCTCAAGGGCGGCCCTAGCAGGGACGCGGCTGGGAGGTGCGCTCCCTCGACTCTGGGGGGCCACTGCCGGTCTGGTGCGTGGGGCTGTGGCTCGGATCCGGCAGGTGAAAGTTGCCAGCAGCCGCTGGTGCTGCAGCCGAGAGCCACCTCGAGGGCTCCGCACGGCTGCAGGACTGGGCCGGGGCTCCCCCACCGTTCCCCTCCGGCGACCCCCAGTGCTGCGTGGGGCTCCTCCGACAGAGGCTCCCCTGGGGCAGTGGCCTGCCGCTGGACCGGTCCTCTCCCTGGGAGTGCTTGGACCCCTCCCCATGTGGGCAGAGGGGCTCTCCTGGGCCTCACTGGCCCGAGGGCTGCCCTGCAAAGGGGCCGGCAAGCCGCAGGGTGTTGTAGTTGGGGGGCGGAGTCCGGGGGGCCATGCCATGCGGGGGCAGTGGCAGCCGCATGGCCGTGTTGAAGGTGGGCAGGTCGTCGCTGTCGTCCTCCCGGGTGCAGGCGGGGTTGTCGTGGCCCTGCCCCGCTGGCGGGTCGCCCTGGGGGGGCCGAGCCGTTCCCTCGCACCGCCCCCTCTCCGGGCCCCGCCACCACTTCTTCGCCTTCTGCCACTGGCGGCGCAGGACAATCCAGATGGTGTCAATGAAGAAGACCTCCACGATCTCGATGACGCAGACCACAGAGCAGCTCATCCACAGCCCCAGCTGGCCCCCAAAGTTGGACAGGAGCAGCACCACCTGGGGCGGGGCAGAGGCAGCATCTCAGGTGCAGCACGGGGGGCCTGGTGGGGTGGGAGGCTGCAGGCCGGCCCCTGGCCCTGGGGTGCTCCGTGGGCAGTGGAAGCCACGCCACAGCCCCTGCCAGGACACCGGAGCGCCCCATCCTGCACAGGGCTGGGGATGGGGCTGGGAGTTGGGGGGTGAGGCAGCCCCCAGAGCTCAGCCAACACACGACTCACGTTGTTCGTGGGGTTCTCTGTGATGAACCGCTCGTTCAGGTCTTTGTAGAACACCGTGAGGCTCGCCAGGTCTGTCCTGGGCAGGAAAAACAGGGTTAGGGAGGCAAGCTGCCGGGCGCCAGAGCCAGAAAGCTGCCCGGGAAAGCTGCTGGCCGCTCTGCTGTGGAAGCAGCCTCCCCTCCCCAGTTTCTCGGCTCGGAGAGAGGAGGAAACGTACTTGTTCAGTGCCTTGCTGCTGTTCTTGCCTTTGTCCCAAGCAAGAACCCGGAGCATCCATTCCTGGAAGGAAAAGCCGCTGCTTTACTGGAAGGCACACCCCTTTGCCTTGGGCCGGCCCCGTTCTCCTGCTCCCTGACTGCTAGGCTCCAGCGCTCCCTTCCTCCTGCCCCAGCCACTGAGCGCCTCCCCATGAAGCCCCTCGCAGTGTGCTCCTTCGAAGGAGGGTGGGCATCTCCCGGGCTGGACAGAGCCGCATTCTGGTCCTCTGTGGGGAACCTGGTGGGCCTCCTGCCTGCTTCTGTGTGTGGAAAACAGGCCTGGTGGCGTCAGGGAGGCTGCACCTCCCCTCAGCCAGCAGCGGAGCCGACGGGGCGGCGAGGGGGCACTCACCTCAGACGCCGTGGAGGGCCACTGGGCGAGGCTTGTGGTGAGCGTCCATTCTTTCAGGCTGAGGGAACAGCAGGCTGTCAGCAACTGAGGCGCGAGGCAGTCCCACCGGGCAGAGGAAGGGCCGCTGTGCCTCGAGAGCCCAGACCCAGCACACCTCTCCTCCCGCAGCCTGACAGCCCATCATGTCAGACCCCCTTGCACAACTTCCGGCCCTTCTCTTCATGAGGAAGGCAGAAGAGGCAGGCCCAATGGCTGACTCTCAGCACCCCAAAAAGTGCTGCTCAAATGGCACGTGCCTGGCAGAGGCGAGGCTCAGCGGCATCTGCGCTCATTGGACTGAGCCACCCCCCGCCCCCCGCTTGCTGCAAAGAGGGCTGCTCAGAAGCCAGTCAGGTTTTGTAGGATGCTGGATGGAGACCCCTGGGTCAGCGACTACCTTTGTGCTCTGGCCAGGCAGCGGCTACCTGCCCAGCGCCTACGGGGCAGGCTGCGTACTAAGCCCCACGGTAGGGGGGCAGCAGCAGAGCTGGGCTGTGCACAGAGGTTTTCTCCTGGACACGGCCACTTCCCCAGCAGAAATGTTGCTGAGGGCACCTGAAGGAGGTGGGCCCAGTGCCTGGCGAGAAGGGACAGAAGGTACCTGCAGCCCCACAGTCCCCCGGCCAGCCCGCCAAGCCCTCAGGACACCATACCTGCAGGCTTCTTTACAGATCTGCTGGCAGCCCAGCTGCTCCTTCACGAACCGCTCGTGCAGCTTGTAGTAGCAGTACACTGCGGGGGGGGGGGGTGCAGAATTGCTGGATGAGGGCTGGCAGGGGCCCCGTCCCCCGGCCTCACCCCCACCAGGGGCCGCCCTGCGTGAGCTCCGTGGCTGCAGAGTCATGCCGCCTTCCGGGGACTGAGGGGGAAAGGAGGAACCTCGTGGGGCACTGAGGCTAGGGGAGGCCGCTGGGTGAAGCGCCCCGGAGCGCCCGCAAGGCCCGAGGCCAGTGAGCGACCAGCTGCCATGCCCTCCGCCCCTCTCCAGGGGGGGAATCACGGGCGGCAGGCCCCCCCAGGAGAGGGAGCTCGTCCGGGACCCACGATGGGAATTGGTCTGGGAGGCGTGGCTCCCGGGGCGGAAGAGGGCTGTGCCAGGGAAAGACTCACTCCAGTTCGGGAACTTCTTGTAGTTGCAGAACTCCGCTCCGGCGGGCAGCGGCTGGGCGTACTGAGCACAGCCGCAGGTCTCCACCATGAACTTCTGGAAGCAGGAGTGCAGGCAGATCTGCCAGAGGGAGACCGAGCAGGGTGAGGCCGAGCGGCCACCGGGGAGCAAGCCTGGGGGCTTGTCCCGTATGCCAGAGCCCCAGCAAAAAGGCTGGCGGCTCAGAGAGGGGGGCAGCCCGTCCCGCAGTCACCTGCAGAGAGTAGCTCCTGTTGTAGAGGTTCTCCACCGACACATCTGACCCGTCCTCTGTGCAGTTGCTGTATGGCTTGCTGAGCCGGTGGGACTTTGTCTGCAGGACAGAAAAGACCCGTTTGCCTGAGGCTGCCGAGGAGGGGCTGGGTGGCCTGGTCCCCCTGGCAGCCCCAGGCAAACTGCCCCGCTGCTCTATGGGTCAAGTCTGAAAACAGAGGGATTGTGGGGGGGCGGCGGGTCCAGGCTGCCAGCAGGCAGCTCGTCATGCCTCATGGGGAAACCTGTCCCCTTTCAGCCATCGCTTTGCGCATGTGCCCCGTGCAGTGCCTGTTCCCCACCCGCCTCCGAGAGTACACAGAAGACCCGTTTGCCTGAGGCTGCCGAGGAGGGGCTGGGTGGCCTGGTCCCCCTGGCAGCCCCAGGCAAACTGCCCCGCTGCTCTATGGGTCAAGTCTGAAAACAGAGGGATTGTGGGGGGGCGGCGGGTCCAGGCTGCCAGCAGGCAGCTCGTCATGCCTCATGGGGAAACCTGTCCCCTTTCAGCCATCGCTTTGCGCATGTGCCCCGTGCAGTGCCTGTTCCCCACCCGCCTCCGAGAGTACACAGAAGAGGAGGGACTTCCTTCTGAGTCCGGGCACTGGGCCCAGACCAACCCAGTTAGAGGTCACCTGCCCCTCCTTGCTTAGAGGAGCATCCTGTGGACCGTGGTTCTTCTGCAGCAGAAAGAGAGGAGAGGCTCTCCCATGCGGCCTTGGGCAGGCCTGCAGCTCCCTGGCCAAGTGGAAAGAGGAGCCCTGTGCCTGCAGTTGGAACAATGGAATTTGGCCCAAACTGGCACCTCTTGCCCAGAGCCCGGAGGTGGCGGAGGAAGAGCGGATCCTGCACTCGCCAAGGAAGGGGCCTCGGGGCTCTGCATGGCGCACCCCCCCCGGGACCCCCATGGGCCAGGCAGGTGCGTTGTGTCTGCAGGGACCAGCAGGCACCAAAAGGGCAAGATTTCTCTAAATTGTGCCCCGGCACCTGCTGGAGCGGTGCGTGGTGGGTGCACGCACAGCCTGGGCCCCCGGCCAGGGGGCTGGAGTCCTGGGGTGGCAGAGGGGGAGGCCAGGGCAGTGTGGGTGCACCAGCTGCCCACTCACGAAGTGCATCCCGATCGAGGTGGCGGTGGCGGTCTCGATCTCGGTGCCGATGTCTTCGATGAATGGGTATTCATCCTGGTCGTGGACCACAATCTTGGCCCCTGTGGAGGTCACCAGGAAGGGGTTGTAGTCAGCCTCTTCTATGTACAGGATCACCTGCAGACCTGGGCAGAGGAGGGACATGGCACTGGAGCTGTCCGGCAGAAAAGGAGGGAGCCAAGGATGGGCGGGAGCCCCTGGCAGTTTGCTGCAGCTGCACCAGTTGGGGACTGGAAAGTCTGCAGCGTCCTACAAATCGCTCCAAGTACGGACCTTTGTGAAGTACCATCCACTCGCTCACCACTGCTGGTTGGCGCCAGGCGGCTGCCATTCCTTGCTTGAGCGAAGGCCCATCAGCTTTAATTTCTGACCAGGGAAATGCATCTTCCCCATGTCTTCTCACATTCAGCCCCACTTCTCCACATGACTCCTATTGCTGTGGAGTAACCTGTTCTGCTTCTCCTTCCACAGGGTGGGGACTGACCCAGATCCTGTGGCCTTCACTTCTGCAAAGCGGGTCCTCCCACACCACCTCTTTGGCTGGACACTCCCTGGCAGGCCCAGAGGCACCACAGATGCCATGCAGTGTCGTGATCCAGCCAGGCGATTAAGTTGCTTCCTTTCCTCTGGCTTCGTGTGCAGCATGGCTGCAAGGGTTCCTCGGGCAGAAGCCTTTTGCACACTTCAGATGACTGGCTCTTCCGAAGTGTTAGGCTAGACAGACAACGAGGGAGCAAGCATGCAAAGCTAGGAAATGCCCACGGCACACGTGGCAAGCCATGGCCTCCGGCAGCCGCCCGCCGATCTGCGTTTCTCTGCACGTCCATCTGCAGGGCCTCCTTACCGTTTTCACTGCCTCCCATGGATGTGCTCAGGATCTCCCCATTCTGGCCACTGTTGAAGGTGTAGCAGTTCCCATGCATCGGATGATGGAAGGAAGTGAAATTCCTGACACGGGCCAAACACAGTCAAGTTATTATTTATACTTTAAAAAAATCTTCAACTATTATAAAGTATACAAAACCTCAAAATAATCAAATTAATCAAAGTCCATTAAAAATAAGCTCTGTGTGCATGGAGGGAGTTTGGGTCACACAGATTATTTCCTCAGGTTCCCAGCAGGTGAGAGCCTTCATTCCCAAGTCATTGAGGCAATGTGCAAGTGCTCCAAAATGCAGCAGGTGCTGGCAGAAAAGCACCTTTCCACACCTGGCTTCCCTCTCCTAAAAGCAGGCCGGCTGCTCCCAAAGACAGGGAGGCAGCTGAGCATTTGACCAGATTTCTCAATGCCAACAAAGCATCAAGACTTCTGAGGCATCTATGCACAGCTTTAAAGTCAGGACATGTCACTGGCTGACTGAGATGTCTTTCGACTGCCTCACCATTATCCCAACACAGAAAACAACTGGCGCTCTCAGCACCATGGAGTGACATGCAAAGCTGCTTTGGGGCAGCAAATTCCAGAAGGGTGAAGGTGCTTCTTTCTTGCTCAAAAAGCCTTGGCCCCAGCCTGGTACTCGAATGCAGCAGCCAATCCACAGCAGGCAGCAATCGGGAGAGGTCGCCGTTCGCTCGAAGCTCGCCTGCTGGGAGGGGCAATAACCACTGCACCAGGAGGACTGCCCTCTGGGCATGCACCGCACGGACTGCGCACCTTCCAGACACAAATTACCAACGCGTGCAACGTGGTTGTCGAAAACAAACCGAAGTCAAAGGAACGGCCAAGCTGAAGTTCTCCAGTGCTAAGACTGACTCCATATCCAGCGCCTGCCAACCTGTACACAGTTGGCTTGGACCGACTCTCTCACCCGGCTGGCCCTGGCCGGTGAATGCTCTTGCATTCTCCATGGAATGCACCTGCTCAGCTGGCCTGAGCTGCAGGCCCCTGGCAGTCCTACCTGGCCGGCGAGGAGCCCAGGCTGGGCCAAGAAATTGGCCTCAGCCGTATCAGGTCAGGTGGGCTCCCCGCCCTCTTTCTCTGCCCCAACCCAACCCTGTCTGAGCAGGTTGGAAGCCCCGGGACGGCGCCGACTGACCTGGAGTCACAGGAGATGCCATCAAAGGAGCAGCTCAGCAAGAGCTCATCAGCAGAGTAGCTCATCTTCACTTTCTCCTCTGCGTCAATCTGCGCCATGATGTTCATGTAGTGCAGCTTGTACCACTCCTGGATGGCGTTGACACCTGAGCTGAACGTGTAGAGCGCGCAGTCGCTTTTGTTGCTGGAGTCACACTGGAAGGAGGAGATGGAGAGAAGAGCCGCGGGCCGGCTGTGGGGAGGGCCGGAGGCTGTGCAGCTGCCCAGAAGAGCAAAGGCCCCAGGAGGATCTGCACAGTGTGGCTACCAAGCAGGGTGGAAACGGGCAGGGGGGGCATCCTGGCCACTAAGGCATTCTGGGAAGGGATTGCCTGTTCTCCGTCCTCGTGGAGCAGCCCACTGTGACCAACAGCCAGCCTCACCTGGCAGGGGATTCCCTGCAGGGGCAGCCACCATAGAAAAGCCTCCCATGAGAGGCTGTGCCACAGAAAGCAGTGGGACATCAGCAGAGGTCCGGGTACAAGCCAAGGCACGGGGTAGAGTGCAGCAGGGATGCTGGCAGCACTGAGGTCTGCCCCGACTCATCCCAGCCTCTGCAGAAGACCTCCCACCCCCGCAAAGCCCCCATCCTCTGGAGTGTCTCAAGAGCCGAAGGAAGGGGGTGGGAATTAGGGCCGCAGTGGTGGCACACCATGAGGGCATCCAGCTGGTTCCCCAAGACCCTGCAGAGGAAAGCCTTACCAACTGGAAAGCCACAATGTCCTGGGGGTTCTTGATGGTCACCATGCTTGAGCCTCCCGGGATGATACTGGCCTCAATCCGCCGCTTGTGGCCTGCAGAGTTGCTGGCTGCAGATGTGGGCTGGAGTCGATCTGCCTTCACCAGGGGAAAGCGTGGGAGGAATTTGCTCTTTTTGGCTTTCTTACTGTCTGTGTCTCGGCGTTCCCTGGGCTTGCTTCCTGTGAAGTTGTACAAGGATTCCAGCGCGTTCAGGGTATCCTTGTCCAGTTCTGCCAGGTGTCCCTTGATGGCACTGTACCTGCCAGAGAAGAGAAGGTCTCTGTGACAGGGAAGAGCAGTTCAGAAGCGGGGAGGCTGGACTTCCTGTGTTTTGGTGCAAAAATCACCCAGCCAGCACCTGGGGCATCTGCTCCATCCTGTCCTGCTCTGGGCTTGAAGCCACCTTTGAAAGCATTCGCACTTGGTATAATGCACCGTTCCTAAGTGATCTGAGGTTCTGCCCACCCTCCCACCAGTGACCAGGTGCAAAAGGCAGAATGCTGGGATGTGACTCCCGCTTGTGCTCAGCCTTTCCCAAGAGCGCGTGTCTCCAGAGGACCGCAAAGGCGACAAGAGTGGCTCAGTCTGCGTCAGCGTCAGCACAGCCCCTACTCACTTGCAGCCGCTGTGTTCCCCATCCAGCTTCCCACTCCTTTTCCCAGCCAGACCAGCCTTGCACCCTCCTGGATCAGCCGTAGAAGAGGCTCCCTTTATGCTCCCTCAGCACAGGGAGCTGCACAAGCCTGGCAGTGCAATGGGCCATGGAGGCCACTCAGCCCGGCTCTGCTCAGCGCGAGGCTCCAGCTTACAGGTCACAGCTTACAGCAGCTCCCCCAGATGCCTCGGCAGCTCTGCGGGGACCCTTCGGCGACAGAAAGGCCATCGCCTTCAAGGGAGTTGGTTCCAATCCCTCGCTACTTACAGGGAGCTGAGCCATGGAGCTGATTGCTGGGAGGCTCGGGACAGGATGGCTTCCCAGGCGAGTAGGTAGGGACTGGCAACCGCCACCGTGGATGGCTTTGGAAGGGGACCAGCCAGACTCCTGGCCCAGGCAGCCCCAGTGACTACGCACTGACTCCGGCCTCAGCACGTCTGTGTGCGCCAAGGGCGGGAGGAGCCGCTGGGCTCTGGGCCCACTTGTGGGGTGCCAACTGGGGCAGCTGGCAGGACTGGAGGAACCTGATCCAATCAGGCAGGGCTCCTCTTGGCTTCTGATATGGTACATGCTGTATCTGGTATTTTGCTGGCACAGGTGCTGGTGCAGGTACAGGGGCTTGCCCCAGGAAGCTTGCTCCTGCTCCAGAGAACTTGGTCTCATTAATATGCAGACTTGGTTTGCATCCCAAGCATGTCGTGAGTGGAGTCAGCTGGAGCCGGGGCTCAGACTAGATGGCCGAAGAGGTCCCTTCTGACTCACTCTGTTTCTCTGCTTCCTCAGAGTTGTGGGTGCAGCTACTGGCATAATATGCAATGCAATAAACATGAACAAAACATGTAAGATCGTGCTCAGTAAAACAAGGAAAGCCCAGACAGCTTCGCAGCAAAACGCAAAGCACACTCTTAATCCTGACAACTGTTCAGGGTTACTTTAAATATTTCTGAGACATATTACTACACCTTGCTTCATTGCTACTCTGTTTCCTGCAAATGCCCTTGGAGGAGCTTGCAGAGCACAGGAACCAGCACCATAGACACAACATTGCCTTGCTAGGATTAAGAGAATCTCAAAACAAACCCAAGAATGCTATACCCAAAAGTATCAGTCCAGGGTAAAGCCACGCATCTGCGGAGAGTTTTCAGACAAAGGAGAAAGGAGAGCTGCCGTGCAGAGAGGGGAGCATGCAAGAGGCCAGACGGCCCTTGCTCGACAGGGGCTTCCAGAGCCGAACTGCCACTGATTATGGCTCAGCTGCGTGTCCTCCAGCCGAGTTACAGCACTGGGTGCCGGCAGGGTAGTTCTCGTTCGCGGACTGCCTCCGCCGCTCAGAAACGCAGCTCCACCGCAAGTGCTCTTCCTGCTCGGTGGAAAGTGCTGCCCCCACCCCCGCAGCCCACCCTCCCAACTGGGGCCCGCCTTGTCCCTTCCAGCTGATCTCAGGGCTTGCTTGCCCCAGCCGTGCCGCGGGACGATGGGCCCGCACTTACTTGTATGGGTTGATGTTGCAGATCGTGACGGCCGGGAAAGGGAGCTTGTGGAACTGCACTGTGACCGAGACGGAGGCCACGTAGTAGTTCATGACCAGCTGGGCGCAGTACCACAGGATCAGCCCCACAGCGGTCAGAGTGAGCAAGATCCAGAGGGACCGGCGCAGGCGCCCCCTGGACACCACGATCCGCCGGCAGCCGTGCGTGTTGGTGTTCATGCAGTACCAGTGCATCAGCTCCCGCAGCGTGGGCGCCTGCGGGCCGGTCACGGGCAGCGTCTTCTTGATCTTGGCCTTGATCTTCTTGGCAGGAGCCATCCCAACAGGGCCTTCAGAAAGGAGTGATGGGAGAGGGAGGGGAGGGGAGGGGAGGGGAGGGAGTTGAAGCACAGTGCCGCTGCCCAGCCAGCTGCAACCGTTCCAACCACTGCAGCTTCCAGGTGAATCACAGGCCGTGGCTGGGGCATTGTCTGTCTGCCAAGGCTGTCCTGTTCCAGCATGCCCCCCCCCCCGGTTCTGGCATGTGGAGGGTTCCTCCTTAGACTGGCTTCAGCGTTCAAAAGGAGGCAAGTCCCCTTTGAGAGTCTGGACGCGCTGACCAGGCAACCTCACCGTGAGGGTGCCACAGGCTCCAGGAGCCCAGCGGCAGCGGCAGCCCCCCAGCTGGCTGCCTCAGCCCCCTTCCATGTCCGGTGCAGCCAGATGCAGCCTCCACCCCAAACAGCAGGTGCCCATTCCCCCCACCCCCAAGTCACTGATGCAGAGGAGGTGGGGGGGGGGGAGGATCGCTGCTGCTGAACAGGGTCTCCTAGACGCAGCCCAGCTTGGCACTCCTATGGCCTTTGGCTACCCAAGGTGAAGCCGCAAGTGGCATTCCCCTCAGACCACACACTGCCAGGCAAGCCCTTCGCACGGCGGGAACCAAGAACCCCACAGTCGCTTCTCTCGCCTCTGGGAAAGAATGTGAACGGGCTAACAATCCAGTGCCTTTCCAGGATCCCTAAAATTAGCTGCCCACGGAGCAGAATACTCGGCCCAGCAGAGGTTTGCTCAGTTCTGCCCCGCAGCTCTGGATGGCGCACCCTCCTCGAAGCACACTCCGGGCTGCGGCCAAATCGCGGGGGGGGGGGGGCGCCCTGGTCCCAACGCGGGCAATAACAGCCCAAGGGGGATCCAGTGTGGGACACCGACACTCCGCGGAGGTCCGAGGAATTCCAAGACTTGCATGTTCCGAGGAGGAGGAGGAGGAGGAGGAGGAGGAGGATCCGGTTCAATCGAGATCCGCCCCTCGCTGCAGCTCGCACCCGCCCTCCCCGAGAAGGCGTTCAGCCGCCGCGCTGGGATGCGCGGGGCACGGGAAGCCTCCCCGGTGCCTGCTGGGCCTGGAGCGTCCCGGGCGAGCCTGAGGGAAGCGCCGCCCTGGCCCGCGGACTCCCCGCGCCCTCTCTCCGGGGGCGAAGCGCCCCCCCCCCGCGGCACTCCTCCCCGCCGTCCCAGCGCCGCCGCGAGAAGCCTGTCCGGCCCGCCTCGCTGCCGAAGCCTCTCGCGGCGCGCGGCGCATCTCTCACGAAGCCGCCCGCCCGCCCGGCAGCGCCCCGCAGCGCCCCGCGCCGTCGGCGGCAGCGTCGCTAAGCCGCCGGCCCGGCCCTCGGGGGCAGGCGCGGCCGGGAAGAGGGAGCACGGCGGCGGGGGCGCGTCTCCGGCGGTGCGCTGCGCTGCGCTGCGGTGCGCGCCGTCGAGCGGGAAGGCTGCCAGGTGAGGTTCCGCACGAGGCCGGCCGGGGAAGCCCCTGCGACCCGCGAAGGCCCCTGGGACGAGCTTGCTCGGCGCTCGCCCGGGCCGGGTCGGGCCGGGCCGACCCCCGACGCGCTCCCGCGCACCAGCTCACTTCTCGCCAGCGCCGTCCCGTCCCAGGGCTTTTCCTGCAGAGCGCGGCCGAGCCCGCCCGGGCGCTCCGCGGCGCCCCCGAGCCTCCCCGCGCTGGCCATGCCGCTCCCCGCTGGCCCGACCGCAGCCGCGCGGTGAGAGGCACTGGCGGCGCTCGGCCGCGGCGCGCCGTATCCCGGCGCCCGAGCGCGGGGCCGCCTCCGCCGCCACGCCTCCGCCGAGATCGGGTTGCCGCAGTCGGCCGCTGGCGATCTTGCGGCGCCCTCCGCTGGCCGTGGCGGAGGCGCGCGCGGTCGTGGGACGGTTTCGCGGGGAAGGAGCAAGCCGGACGGCTGCTGCAGGGCAGGGGGCGAACCCGGAGGGGCCCCAAGGAGGGCTTGCAGTGGCCCAGGGAAGCTGGCCTGCCGTGGGCCAAAGGTGCCCGCGGTGGGGGGCACCACACCACAAAAGGGAGACCACCCTCTAGGAAGGCCCCCAGCCTGTGGAAAGCCCGGAGTGGCTCCTGGATCAAATCGGTCCAGAACGCCTCTCGGAAGCAAAAATGACCAAATGGAAGCCGCCTGCGCTTGGGCACTTCACAGGCAGGCAAGCCTGATCGGAGGAGATAATATGCAGGAAAGTCAAAGTTGGAACGAGGGGAAGAGCAGCTATGAGGGAGACCGACTCCACAAGGGACGCCACAGCGCTGAGGCGACAAGAGCTGAGCAGGGCCTGAAGGACAGCACAGGTCACAGGGCACTCATGCACAGGTGGGGGGCACCTGACTCGCCTCTCAGGAAGCTTGTGCTTGGATCTAGGAGGCCAAGTGTCCCGAAAACTGCCGCTGCTCAGCCAGAAAAAGTGAACATACAGCCCAAGCTGCCAGGGCTCCCTCGGCCACGCAGGGACCACTCCCTCAACCTTGTTGTGGAGAGTTAGAACAGCCAGGGCTCACTTTGATATATTTTGCAGAAAGGAATGATTTGGCTGCAGCAAGACTCCGAGATCTCTTCTTATCCCGATAGCTAAAACAAGTGTTAGTTGGTAAAATAGCTCAAGCTGGCTGCTCCAGTAGCAGTCCTCCTTTTGGAAGCAAGCCCAGCAAGTGAGGAATGCCTTCGGCAGAATCCATGCCTAACACTGTTATCATTGGTGAAGCACCAGTGAAACGCCCCCTTCCTTCCGTCTGGCTGTACTAATCAAGTACTCTTTAGCTGGGGCTTGTAAAAAACGGAATGAGGACAGGCCCCGTCCTGGACCTGCCAGTGGGACTGGGAACAAGACAACCTGGACATGTCAGTGTCAGACTGAACATCTTGGGGGAGCACAGGTAACTTGCCAATCTGCCCAGAAGCGTTGCCGGGCTGTCCCCTCAGCCCAGGCACTCACACATTAGATCTCTCAGAGGGTGCGTCCTGCTGAGAAATATGGCAGAACAATACCCTGTGGGATGCTGACATCGCTGTGTCAAGAACCTGATCCTGACCTTGAAGTTTATTTGAAATCTCTTGCTTCGAGCTGTGAATTCATTCTAGGTGCATTAGGTAGCATTGCGTCCTGGTGGAGGACCAGGGGATAGGTGAAGACATAGCAGGACCTGATCCGTGGACTTTCAAAAACCCGATTTTCTTTCTTTTTAATCAGTGGTGAACAAAATGTTCCAAAAGGGTGTAATGATGTGAAGGTGCTTTTTTGTGGTTCCTTTCCAAGCAGCTGGCTGTGCTTCAGCAGATTTCAGTGCATCTCACAGACCGTGTTAGAAAACCCTTAGAAGCTACCTGCACAGCGTGGAGGAAATGAGACTACACCTTTAAGGCCAGGCCTGAGTTCCCCCCGGAGGTGCCCATCCCTGGGTTTCGGATGGAGGAGGCCCTGTGGTCCTGAAAGACAAGAACTGTGCCAGCGCCCACTTACATTCCTGTGAAATGTGGGAAAAACGGAAGTGGCTTTTTCTTCTGGGCTCCACTTCACCTACTTTGTGCGCCAAGACCTTTTTCTGCAGAATGAAGCTTTCCCCACCTAATGCCCCTGGAGTGCGTGATGGGCTTTGCGGACACCCGGACCGAGTCTCACTTTGGGGGACAACACAGTGACGGTGTAAGGACTGCTGATGCAGGTGCCTGAGATGTTCCCTTCCGTTCAGCTACTCTCTAAGGGTCCTCCTCCTCCTCTTCCTCCTCCTCACTTTCAGGAACACTTGCACCAACTTAAAGGCTGGACAGTGAATGGAGGGGACACTTGCCCAGGTGCAAGGACTGTTCCAAACAGTTGCTACAAAGGGTGGGGGCACCAGTAACGCCCATTTCTGGACTTACTGGAGTCTCAGTGAAATGTTGAAAGGGGAAAGGGCACCGACAGGCGTCGGTTCAAGGCTTCCCCAGGACAGGACGACTTCGCCACGGGGGAGTGCGTTCTTCCCACGCTTTGGGGCTCCCTGCAGCGCTGTCACCTCTTTGTGCTCCCGACTTCCGCATGAGAGGCTTGCTCGGTTCCCTCCTTCCTGCCAGAAGCGGACCAGCCAGTACGTGCTCCCATCCGGCCAGTGCGTCTGTGCACGGCCTGTGCCGCCGGGGGCCCCTGCAGACGCCTGGAATGCACCAGGCGCCAGAGAAGGCAGGGCGGAGGTGCGCGACAGCGGGACCTGCGAGCCGGCACATTTAGCGGGGGCTGGCGGGAAGGCGCAAAGAGATAGCAGCGCCCCATCGGGTGGCCTACGGAGGCTTTGCACAAATAAGTCTCAGACGCGGGGAAAGAGCCCGCCCCATGGAAAGGGATCGTGGCCGGGGCGGGGGGTGCGGCACGGACCCCGGGAAGGCGCAGGGCCCCGCAACCGGCGGAGGCTGCGCCGCCACCCGCCAAGCGAGGGCCGGCCAGCGCCACGCTCCTTCCCCCTGTTCCTTCG